TATTTTATTTTTATGTTACTTATATCAACTACACGACTATGAAAGTTCTTAATTTCTTATTGGTTTTTACTTTGATAGGGGTATAGTCTTTATGGATTTTTAGCGTTACAAACGATTAGTCTATTTCTATTATGGAAATCATACACAGATAATTGAATTTTGTGTAACGTTGACATTCTTATATGATGCATTACAACGTTTCAAATAATTTAATTTTGTATTGTTATATACATATTTCATTATGCAAAAGGAAATCTCGTAGCTGCCATCTAGATTTTTTCTTTATATCACTAGATTCTCTCAATCTTTGTTTTGTTTGCACGAATGCTTCTTTTATAATGGTATCACAAAATATTACATGTTTGTAGATTTAGCTCGTCCAGGCTAGTAGAGGGCTGAGAAGGACTGTAGATATTAATGTTGACTGAAGTTTTGACAACTTTAGCGGCAGTCCTCTTTAGAGTAAAGTGCACACTGATTAACGTCAGGTTTGCTGTATCTTTCATCTGCTTCATACATCAACGTAATTGTGCATTGACATGTACACACCCACGAATTTCCTCTACACACAATATGATGACGCATTAACCAAACAGCAAATACGGCAAACCGGACTTTTATTCCCGACTTGATGCGAAAGAAGACATCAACAGTTTACCTGAAGACTCTCCCAACCTGGATGATCTAAAAATATATAATCATACAACTGGCTTCAAACCATTCACTTTATATAATATTAAAATTCTCAACAGGAATATAGTTGTTCATTTTATATTTTCTAGTTCATGTAACGTACACAAGTACTTACACTGAGCAACTAACATTCCTAAATTTTCAACAATATTGTCAAACGTTTTGGCTTGTTTTATTGTTCTGCAGTTCACATCTTTAAGATTTTACGCTATTATTGTTTTACGCTGTAGCGAACAGCTCTATTGCAGTTACAGGTTAACAAAGAAACAATTAAGTTTACAGTGTTTGCAAAACATGTAGCATTTAACTAAGATGTATGGATTTAGACGACTAACAACGTAGCAAACTACAGTTTAAAGGCCAAAATAATACCACATGTTGTTAAATTCTACCTTCATTTATATAAATACAGTCTTATTCCTGTTCATAGTCAGACATCGCGCAAAGTATACGCTTAAGTAAAGATCACAAAGAGCTCCTTGAATAGATATTATTATAACCCTCTTATTCTTTGAAATAATTTTCATTTAATAATTGCAAAATAAATTTACAGATAAGCGTAGAAGTTTGATAAAAACATTTGTTACAGTTTTTTGGTTTCTTTGCTCAAATGGCTAAAATTCAATGTGCCAATAATAACCCTGTAAAGATATTAGGAGAATATTTTTAAATCCATAGTGTGAAAGATATTAAGTCATACTATATCAATAAACCAAGCAAGGAAGATTAGCTTTCTTTGGATTTTAGATGATTGCACTCACAGAATACAGCTTGAAGTCACATATTATTGATTGTACGTCAATGCATATTTTGTTTTTAACAGCACTTAATTGTGTGAAGTGGACTGGAATGCACTTATATTAACAACTAATTTTCCAAAGTTTTTAAGATCATGCTACTTAATAGGTTCCGCTATTAAACATTTAATGCTGGCAGAGATTGTTTTAAAAATATTATGTTAAAATGTACACGAACTAATGTTATATATGTTTATTACAATACAACTAAAAGCATTAAATAAAGTAAATGGTTTGAACCCGGGAGTATCGTTAAATGTTTGTAAATGATGATCGTCCAGGTTAATAAAGGTCAGCAACAACAAAAACAGTCCTTCTCAGGACTTTATTAATCTGGATGATCACCATTTACAAACATGTAAAAGCATTAAACGTCAGAAAGTTTAACGAAATTCTTCATTTGTGCACAAATAGTTTTGTCAACTCTGTTTATCTATATATTTTATACGTAGATTATACGTTTGAAGAATAGAAATTTTCAAGCAGTGAATTTGATTCATAGCAATGTTGGTGAAGTTATTCTACATTTTTTGCTACACTTTTTTTCGAAAGCTAGTTTTCTTAAATATTATAAATGTGGATTTGATTATCAGTTAAGAAGAGTATTTACAACATAAGATGTATAAAAGGCTACACTAAAACAACCATAGATAAAACAAACAAATAACACTGATATGGTTAAGTGCATTTGAAATGCTAATTATCTAAAGATATTCTTATGTAAAATGTCCGTTGCAATTTGTAACCTGAAATCAATTCTCGCTGTAAAGGGCTAAAAAGCGATTACTCTAAGAAGACTTGTTTTAGTTCTCTGTTTTACACGTTTATGTCAAACGAAGCTTTTCTTTAGTGTTCTATTCAAGAACAGTTAATTGTAACTAAGTGCTTGAAACACTTAAAAATAAAGAAATTAATATAACAAACACACAAAAAGCTTTTGCCGAAAGACAAGGACTTGTTCATATTCTTTTTAAAGCTCCATTAAAGTCAATAAAACAGAAATCGGTATTTTGGTTGTCTGCACACATACAATAAGTTCTTAACTGGATAAGAAAACAATGTCTTTCCATTTTGCAAATTGGCATCATTGATAATTTTCATCTCTTACGGTGTTAATCAATCTCTTGTAATTCGGAATCATCTTTTGTTCCGTAGGTAATCTGGTACAATTTTTTGGATTCTTTGCAATTCTTTTTAAATATTAGAAAAAATGATTGAGATAGAAAAGAGAAACTTTCTGAGCCCTGCCAAAACGAAAGGACACGTTTACATTATTTAAAATGTTTAATTAATAGTATACTATAGAAATTTCCTGTTTTGGTTTCCTTCACTTACACAATACGTGCTGACTGGATAAAAAAAAAACAATGACTTCTTGGCGTTATTGATAATTTTGATCGCACTCCACTTTTGCAAGCGTTTGATGCAATGTGTTAGAAACTACGAATTTTTTTATAAATTTCAGGATGAAAGGAAAAAATAAAAATAAATTTTCGTTCCGTGCGAATAGTTATTAGCTACTAATAAAACAATATATATGATTAAATAATATTCGGAATATTTTTCTTATACATAGAATACATAAGAAAAGGTATAAACTTTAAAGAAACTACTTGAAAGAGGAAGCCAAAAATTACACTCATACTTTTCTTGGGGAGACACGTAAAAACTTAAATGCTTCGAAATATTACTATACAAGTTATACAAAAGCTTGTACAATATAGGTTATAACTGTCTGGTAGAAATAGTATTTCATTTTTATGTGACTTAAATCAACTACACGACTATGAAACTTTTTAATTTCTTATTGGTTTTTACTTTGATAGGGGTATAGTCTTTATCGATTTTTAGCGTTACAAACGATTAGTCTATTTCTATTATTGAATTCATACACAGATAATTGAATTTTGTGTAACGTTGACATTCTTATATGATGCATTACAAGGTTTCAAATAATTTAATTTTGTATTGTTATAGACATATTTCATTATGCAAAAGGAAATCTCGTAGCTGCCATCTAGAATTTTTCTTTATAGCACTAGATTCTCCCAATCTTTGTTTTGTTTGCACGAATGCTTCTTTTATAATGGTATCACAAAATATTACATGTTTGTAGATTTAGATCGTCCAGGCTAGTAGAAGGCTGAGAAGGACTGTAGGTATTAATGTTGACTGAAGTTTTGACAACTTTAGGGGCAGTCCTCTTCAGAGTGCACACTGATTAACGCCAGGTTTGCTGTATTTTTTATCTGCTTTATACATCAACGTAATTGTGCATTGACATGTACACACCCACGAATTTCCTCTACACACAATATGATGACGCATTAACCAAACAGCAAATACGGCAAACCGGACTTATATTCCCGACTTGATGCGAAAGAGGACATCAACAGTTTACCTGAAGACTCTCCCAAAATGGATGATCTAAAAACATATAATGATACACCTGGCTTCAAACCATTCACTTTATATAATATTAAAATTCTCAACAGGAATATAGTTGTTCATTTTATATTTTCTAGTTCATGTAACGTACACAAGTACTTACACTGAGCAACTAGCATTCCTAAATTTTCAACAATATTGTCAAACGTTTTGGCTTGTTTTTATTGTTCTGCAGTTCACATCTTTAAGATTTTACGCTATTGCTGCTTTACGCTGTAGCGAACAGCTCTATTGCAGTTACAGGTTAACAAAGAAATAATTAAGTTTACAGTGTTTGCAAAACATGTAGCATTTAACTAAGATGTATTGATTTAGACGACTAAAAACGTAGCAAACTACAGTTTAAAAGCAAAAATAATACCACATGTTGTTAAATTCTACCTTCATTTATATAAATACAGTTTTATACCTGTTCATAATCAGACATTGTGCAAAAGTATACGCTTAAGTGAAGATCACAAAGAGCTCCTTGAATAGATATTATTATAACCCTCTTATTCTTTGAATTAATTTTTATTTAATAATTGCAAAATAAATTTATAGATAAGCGTAGAAGTTTGATAAAAACATTTGTTACAGTTTTTTGGTTTTTTTGCTCAAATGGCTAAAATTCAATGTGCCAATGATAACCCTGTAAAGATATTAGGAGAATATTCTTAAATCCATAGCGCGAAAGATATTAAGTCATATTATATCAATTAAACTAAGCAAGGAAGATTAGGTTTCATTGGATTTTAGATGATTACACTCACAGAATACAGCTTGAAGTCACATATTATTGATTGTACGTCAATGCATATTTTTGTCTGCTTTTACAGCACTTAATTGTGTGAAATGGACTTGATTACACTTATATTAACAACTAATTTTCCAAAGTTTTTTAAAATCACGCTACCTAATAGGTATCGCGATTTTAAATTTCCACCCGTTTCGCTCATTCTAAATGGGTATTACTGAGAGTTCTAAACTTTAGAATACGGAAAATAGTCAAATTAGATTGCTTTCTGTGCTATCTGAAGGCTATGTTTGTCTCTCCTGACCTCAATATCTCTGGACACTGTGAGTGTGGGTCAGACTCAAAAGAATGCGCTTAGGAGCGTTAATCGCAGGGTAAAACCATACTCTTTGACTGTGAAGACATACTCTGCGGCTGGAAAACTTAGTAAAGTCGTACATTGAAATCTATGCCATGTTACCAGGACAACTCTGCGTAAAATGTGTAGAAGATTGGATACCAGCAAAAAAAGCAGAAATTAAATGTTGTGATTGCGGTCACGGACAGCTCTACCTGTTTGACTGTATGGAATCCCTTCATCGAACGAGGAATGTTTTCCATTTGGTTGAAGTATGGAAGGTAAGTTTAATTCTTTCTGGCGGCACAGATGAATCCCTGTAAAATTTGCCTGCCAGCAAAACATAAACAAGTTAAGTCGTCTGTTGGAAGGCAATTGTATGTGATTATTTCCAAAAGTCAATTCTTCAGATGAAATATTTTTGCTTTTTACATTTGGAATTTGGCTTGTTAAGCTCCAGTATTCATTAAATGCCGGCAATTTTTTACAACCATGTCTTAACTCTAAAGTAGCTTAATCGGTAGTATTTTGTTAAAATTATCAATCATTTTCAAGAATGCTATGCTGCTATATGCTGTGCATGGTGCCTTATGTAATGTATACATGTTCTGATGCTTAAATAACTACTGTTTACACTGATTGTGAAATGTTTGTTCTGTTACTTTGGTGGTATATTACGTGACACTCAGCATACTAACTGCTCTTCAACAGAATCACATACTATAATATGTGTGGATGAAAAAGGTACAGTATGGCAACAATGACAGTATTTTCACTTTAACTACATGTAAATGTGTATATATTAGTCATACTGTTAAGTATTAGCTTCATTTAGGCCAATAATTTCTATGTTAATTATTTGTTATCAAATAATCCAATTTTTAATCTCATACAAAATTTAGGTCGGCAGCATTTAAAAATTGTTGAATTCTGTCGGTGTATGCTGAAAAACTTATTAAACTCCAGCTGTGGCCAGGCTCATCTTCTAAACCCAAAATTGCATTTCACTTTGACTTCATTGATTTTGCTGAAAAATTCTTGCTTGAGAGCCATGTATTCTTGTACAAATTTTGCAGCACTGTTGAAGTTGAATATCTTGAAATGCTACCTAGAATGGTATATATTTCTCATAAACCTGAATTGCGTACCCATGTGATAGTCTTCCCATCAAATATTGGAAATAGATGAGTTGTACTTTGCAAAAAAAATTATTGAATCACTGTTATTTACAAGCAACATAAACAATGCAGATTTACCTCAAATAAGGTAAGAGCACATTCAAATTGTACATGAAGATTCCTCTGCTGTTATGACATTGTGTATTCAACCTTATTTTATTTTTGAAACAAATGCATGAGTTTACTAGGTGTTCATTTTATTCTTGTTAAGGTCAAAATCATATGTAATGTGTTAAACAATGGATCATTCGATGAATACACATGTTATATGTAATAAAAAAAAAGTCTATTTACAGTTATTGTAGACCTAATGGTTAGATTATATGTGTAGAGTAGTACAGTCTAACCTGTTTTAAGTACACATCATGGGACAACAGACCAGTGTCAGCTTAATGAAAGTGTCAGCTTAATGAAAGTGTCAGCTTGATTGAGGTTACATCATTATACATTCATCATTATTAGCTATATGAGACTAAATTTTGGATTTTACACAGTATCTGCTTAGTACAAGGTCATTTGATACAGGAGGTTTGACTGTATATATTATATCATTTAAGAATTTGATTTTTTGTCAGATATTTCAAACACCAAGTCAGATCATTAAAGTTTGTACAGAAAGACCTGATTGATTATAGAAATTGCCCTCTTTGCCCACAAGTCAGTATTTGATTTCTTTTTTTCTACTATTTGCTTTGTGAACTATTTTAAATTATATATTTTCTGTCACATATACTATCAAAACATTTAAAGTTGTTGTAAAATATGAAGTGTTACATGTTTACCATAAAATTCATTTCACTTTATTAAAGAGCTTTGTTTGCTTTAGACTGGTGAGTTAGGTGTGGCCATTCATTCCATGGATGCTTGCTTTGGTCTAACTCGTAAAAAGTTGGAAGGGAATAGATTTGCTGTCCCAAACCATGGCTGCCTTAAGTTTGCTGATCACGATGAAGTAGAAGATTTTGTTGATCATTATAGCAAGTCTAATAACAAAGTAGGACAGGTAATTATTGCATCATGAAGGACTTTGAAGCCTATTTAAAAGTATTATGAGAAGGTGGGGGGGAGTGAATAGTTTGAAAACAAACTTTATATGTAGTACATGGAAAAGCAATGGCAAAGCCTGCACTTTTTTACTTTTCCATTGCAAATATTTTTGTATTCAATCACTGGAAAAACAATGAATGGATTTGATTTTCTTCAGAAATTATTAACAATTTTGATGATGAATTTGCATTGTAAGAGTAAAAGATTGGGCAGGCTTTGCCCCTGAGAAAAGTGGGCCTATGCTTCATGCAGGTCCATGGGCCCTGATACATACGTAAGTATCTACGTGGATTTAAAATCAAAATTACAAACAGCTAATTTTTACTTTTCCTTTAATTTATCATGTTTATTTTTACAGTAAAACAATTTTTATATATGCGCTAATCTAAAATGTATTCCAACTACTTTTAAAGTTGTCAGATATTTAAGGCAGGACAAGTTACAAAAGCACTTCACTCCAAAGGAAAAAATCAACTGTTTGATGAAAAAGGAGTGTTTGGTAGTTGTTGCAGTCGGCATTCACACCCTGGACGATTTTTCAGCACTAAATATGGGGAAAGGTTAGTGTCTTAGCCTTGGTTTGCACGTAATTATCAATATTTTTGATCTTTGATGAGGTAGTATGTAGAGCAAATCGTCGGGTTATAATTTCCTTTCCTGTGTCAATTTCGAAATAAAGGGACAGAAGGACAAAACGATTTTGTGCTAACGAGATCTATTGTTACCCTTTAATAATATTTATTGTCTTATTATTAATATTCAGAATTTCGTATTTGCTGTTCCTAATCCAAAGCATTTTAAAAGATGCTGACCGAAGTCCTGGTGTTGATTTAAAAATAATGTATGATATTGGATGTGTATTATCATCATATTTAAAGGTATTTTAATGTTGACATGTATGATGTGGGACAAGTTCATTCACCAACTAAACTTTGAATAAATTGGTACCGTTCTAGGCAAACAAGAGGCATGACATTTTGTTAAAAGTGTCAATTTCGGTGCCGATATTTCATTGCTATGGACACAAGGCTTCATGCCAGGTAATGAATAAAGCTTTGTACCTGGTAGTGACAGGGATGGATTAAAAGGCGGGATAGCGGAGGAATGTGCTTTCCTCCAACCTTGATTAGTGGAGAGGGATGATGAGTGGCATTTTCCCTAAGAAATTTAGGCATACCAAACAATCAAGCGATCGTAATTGGGGTTTATGGAGCACAATTTCAAAAATCTCCTATCATTGTCTCTAAGTAACAAAATTTAACGAAAAATGTTAGGCATGTTACGGCAACAAGCAGCCACCAGAATCTTATCCAAACTAGAGCACCTCGCTTCTTCAGACGCGCTTCTTCACTTATCTCGAAGAAATTTTAGCAATGCAGGTGCTTGAATATTGTCATTGCTCTATGTGTAACTAGGTGTCGACAATGAAAATGTTTTTATTTGTTTGCTGCGCTTTAATTATTTTCTGTATATGAATTGTTTCAGGAAAATCATTAACGTCGAAGCTTAAAAAATGTCTACAACTTAAAATTAAAACGCAACAAGAAATGAAGGATTTATTTAGCGAACTACCTGGTAAGTAGTTCTGGTAGGTTAGAAATTTCTTATGTTTTTTGTGACCGAAAAGTAATTAATGTTTCTGTTTGCCTAACTAAACTCTCAACTCAATTTGCATCCAAGGAATATGTCGTTATTTAGTAAAGGCTTCTTCATCGAATTTAAAATCTGTTATGAAAAGATAAAGATTTATTAGTATTGATTGTACTTCAAAATAGCCTACTCGTTTTTACGAAATACCCTACTAAAAAACGAGATTTTTTTATTGTATGGGAAAATAAAAAACCTGTAGCATATATAGTTACATACGTATTTATTTTGTTTGTTAGTGACGTACGCTCCTGAAATTGTTTGTCAGTTGGAGGCCAGAGAGAAGGAAATTATGTCAAGAGTCAACCCAGGTATATAATGTTATTCATGGGAAATAGTTTCATTCAATAACAATTCAGTCTGTAGGAGATAAAGACATACTTTTTAAATACAGAACATAAAGAAACCACGGAGAACTGGAAAGTGGCGTACGTTCAAAAGCTACTGCACGTTCAAAACCTACAACTTAGGTAGGTTCTTTAATGTACTAAACTGGCTGTTTCTCTATAATACATGCCTATAGACGTTTTAATATTTCTTTTGAGCCTAATTGGTGAATTATTTAAATTCTTAGTGCTACATCATTCGGATGTTTTGAAGAAAACCAGGAGATAACCCTCTGAAGATTACTCAATTCATCAGACGTCGAAAAACTGTACCAGTATGTATACATGTGTCAAAGAAATATTTTGCTTTAAAGTTTTTTTTTACATAGGCGCAAAATTTATGTAAACAGGTTTCAAAACATTATAAGATATTGAACGAAAGCATTCTGTAAACGAAAGATGGAAACCTGGTCATCCTAGTTGTGATGTCGTTGCATTGCAAGTCATACAAAGAAAACGAACAGATACTGTCGGAGCTTTACATGGACTTTCCATCGAAAGGCATATTTTAATAACATTGAGAAAGAAGTATGCAAGTACTGTAATGCACTGTAAATTTCAGATACCTGAAACCTAAGCTATGTTACCATATCTGTCTTTTGTTTTTCTTGTAAATGCTAATTTTGTATTCTTTTTACTTGGTCACGAACAAGATGAAATTAACAATTGAGAACACAATGCTGCCATTTATTCTCTTCGTGATTTTATAAACAGTTTACCCGATCGTCTGACATTTGACAAATTGAAAGATCCAACATCAGACCTTTATGAGGGATTTGAGTCTGGTGAGGATGACATTCTAGGGAAATACTCGGTCCCAGTATACACAAAGAGGAAAGCTATTGAAATGTACTTAATCCTAAAACGATGTGACGAGGAAGAGTAACTTTTAAACTTGGAAAAAGAGAAAGGCTTCTATTGTATTACACCAATCTTAGCTGAAAAATTGGTGAAGCACTTGCTGATCTTGGTGATTTGAGCAGCGATGAATTCATGCTTGGTTCAAAGCGTGAACTGATGAGCTTTAAAACAAATTGCGGAATGAGTTGTTCAGCTTGAAGAAAAGTTTTGAACTTCCACTTAGAGAAACTTTTCTTCTCCAGGCTGAGGTTATCAACTTAACCAATGATGTCAACATTCCCAATGAATCTGAAAGCTCAACGTATGAGGAATCCGATACTGAAGATGAAAACATCGAAAAGCTCTCAGAAGTGGACAGTGACATTGAATAGACGACATAGCTACTATTCGTAAACTAATAGCTACTTTTTTATGTACTTATTATGTAATTTAGTTGTTCACGTATCTAGTATAATAACTGATATCACGCAAACATTCGTGGTTTTGTGACGTCATGTTAGTACACAGTCATTTTCTCTTCCTCTGTACAACACCGGAAGTTTTGACCCGTCGTTGAATTGTGAGAGAACTATGTTCTTTATTATTTATCAATGTCCTACAAGTAAGAGTTTATACGCGAAATATATCCCAACCAATTAGCTCTGTCTGCCCAACCCAATTCATCTAAAATTGTGAGCATTCATATCATGTATAAAATAGCTGAGACGTATCCAAAGCTTTATCAGTTGATCAACGGGTCTGGGCGAGTTTTTGAAAACACCGAATTTCATGATTTTCCGTCTAAATCATCCTTTTGTTTCTTAATGTTATAAGCCTTCCCATGTTTCATATTTTGCTCGAGATTAACTCAAAACAGATGACTAACTTTACCGATGTTCAAGCTAACGAAACGATGCTGACAAGAGAGTACGGTCTGGTTCGGCACCCTTGATGGCACTGCCGCTGTAAGAGGTAAATGAGAAATGAATCCGAATACGTGTTTGGATTGAAATAATATAAAATTCAAAATTATTAATCTACGTTACTGAGCACTGTTGCCATTTCACAGAACACGTAAGCCATTTTACAGATCGAACACGCTTGTCATGTTGCACGCCTACCGTAATCATTGCACGTATTACGTATCACGCATTCTTGCCGTGAGTTTCAAATATTCTCTAGGCAATACCAACCCTCCCTACAATCATAGGCTGAAGTAACATTCTGTTGTTAAGAAAAGAACGTGATCGTTTTTTGGTTTTTTTTTATTATAGGATGCTACATACTCTGCTGCTATAAGGTCTATGCTATAAGTGTCCATGCACTAACTAAAAAAATCAATATTTGAAACATAATTTGTTAAAAAAATTTAAAGCCACAACTATTAACTATTTGCTGTAACAAAACATTGCTTCTGGCTACTGCATACTTTTGTGTAACAATCACATATGCTCGATGATATTGGATTATGCGGTGCTGTTTATTTCACAAAAAGCACCGTAAAGTGACAATATCGACGCAGCGGAATTCGAATTTCGAAATGTTAAAAGTGGAATTCATTTGAGTGCTCGTTTGTACCGAAAATGAATTTATCAACGGCCAGGGCGTTTAATCAATTCTAGATGTTGTGGTGCAGCGAAATGAAAAGAGAGACGTGTATATTAGTTGTTTGTGTGAACAAATAAAACAAACTAAACTTCTTATAAGCCAAATTGTGAACCCACTATAATTAATATATCATAATGGTAATGTTTTGAAGGGGGTGGGTGTTTATCGAGGACGGGACTTTAGTTAGTATGTGGCGTTGCAAGGAGGGGGGGGGGTTAATTTGTATAAGGTGTTAATTTAATATAGGGCGTTTATTATATCTTTACGTCACATATGCTCATATATCATCTGAGAAATACAATTTGGCTTATGCAAACCAATGAGAACTTTGGAAAAACTTGAGAAGAGATCCGTGCAAGCAAGAGACTGAAGTTCTTCGGTTATAAATTTACATCGCTATGCAAAATCTTTTTGGTTAATAGATTGATTTGATTGGTTGAGTTGAAATCGGTTTGCACAGGCTAATGCAAACACGGCTATAGACCAATCACCGAGCGGGTACTATTGTTTTATTTTATATGATTGAACAAACCTTGGCCTTCATAAGTCTTAATTCATATACTATTTCATTCAATAATTGCTTAATACCACGCTAAGCAAATTGTATATCATAATTCTAATCATGCAGTTTGAGTTAAAAAATTAGAAACTTGAACAAATCTAATACCTGCACTAAAATGAACGGTTTTAAAGATACGCATTATTCGTGTAAAAATAAATGCCCAACATAAAGTTTTGATTAGAGCCATAGAAATAGACCAAAAATTGTAAAATTGAGTTTATTGTAACGTTTCGTCTTTACTCAAGACATCTTCAAACAAATAATAAATAGGATGTTAAGACAAGACATTATATTTACAAAAAGGTGTTAAATTACTACTAAAGGAGGCGGTGTCAAATGGATTATATGATAAGGAAGTTAGGAAGTAAAATAAAGAGAAATTAAAAGAGGTTAGTGGAATGGAGTTTCCTTGCACGTTAAGTGAAGGCTTGTATTTATTGATTAGAAGGTTTCATGAATGGAGAGTTCATAAGAATCATTAGAAGAGGAGATTATTTTAAAGTCGTCTGTTGGGGAAGTGTTCAGTTGTGTTAATGTGAGCAAAGATGCTTGATAACGCAGGGTGGAAAACTTGGTAGCCTGTAAGGGGATATTCCCGTGCTCCGAAGATCTGGTGTGTAGATGACGTGTGGTTTGACCCACATACGAAGCGCTGCAGCTCGAGACTTGAATAAATAGACTACACCAGATCTCAGAGGTTTGGGAATTTTGTCCTTAAAGGGGAAGAAAGAAGAGATACGTTAGGAAGGGCGGAAAACAAATTTAATAGATATATGTGGGAAGGCTGCAGCACAAAGGTTATTGATTTGTATGCCGGTGAAAGGAAGACAAAAATAGATGGGCATTTTGTGAGCAGTCATAACAGGTGGTTTGGGGGCAAAGGTGTTGTTAAGGAAGTGACGTGTGATTTGGTCAATTATACGTGAAGGAAAACCGTTTTTGGTGAGTGACTTTCTGGTAAATTCGAGTTGTGTATGAAAATTTTCGTAAGTTGAACAAAGGTTGAAGATGCGATGAAGTAAGCAGGAGACTAGTGAAAGCTTGTTAGTAAGTGGGATGAAGCTGTTGAAGTTAGTGAAGAGGCAAGTGAAACTAGGTTTGCGGTAGTGGTTTGAATAAAGGACATGTATTAAGCCAGGATTGTTCGTAAAAGGACATGAATATATCAGCAAAGAGAGGGCCCAATGTACTGCTCATAGCCACACCATCAATTTGCTGGTACATTTTCCCGTTAAAGATAAAGTGACAGTTCTTATCAGCTGTGAAAGTTAGTGAAGAGGCCAGTGAAACTAGGTTTGCGGTAGACAGAAGTGGTGAATTTTCCATTAGTACGAGACATGTCAATGTCAAGAAATGATAGTTTTCTGTTTTGTTTGACTTCAGCTGTAAATGTGATGTTAGGGTGCTGTCGGTTCAGATAGTCAAGAAAGAAAGGGACGTGATCGGAGGAATGAAAAAGTAAAAAACAGTCGTCAACGTAGCGTCGGTTGAACCATCCCACCGAAAAAGTTAAGCATTTGCACCTTCATAACACCCTTTGAAAAACTCTACAACCATCTTAAACGAGAACCTGTTAATGAATCATCCGGATTTTTTTCAGACTCGATCAAATGCAAATTAAAAGACATTGCTCACTCATGTTTCCGAAGTTACAGCCCACCACCTTTCCTATACTCACAAGAAGACTTAATAATTTAAAAAACAACAGAACTATCCTCATCACTAAACCTGACAAAGGAAATGGTATTGCAATACTTAACAAAGACGACTATATAAAGAAAATGAACTCACTCTTATCTGACACTACAAAGTTTCAACCTCTTTATGGAGATCCAGTAAAAGTCACTTTACAGCGACAAAATCAAGTGAAGTCTTTATTAAAAAAGTTAAAAGATGCTAAATCTATCGGCCAAGAAACTTACAAAGAACTTTACCCAACTGATTCACGAATAGGTATATTGTATGGTCTTCCTAAAATACATAAATGTAACATCCCTCTCAGACCCATTCTTACCTCCATTAATCACGATTCGTATAAACTATCTAAGTTTTTCATCCCACTCCTAAAACCCTTCACTATAAGCAACCTCATTATCAAAGACTCTTTCTCCTTTGTTGAAGAAATCCTAAATTGCGATAACAACTCCAGTAATGTTGTCCTTGCTAGTTTTGATGTCGTATCCCTATTTACTAACATACCTGTTGACGAAACCATCCGCATAATATCCAATAGCATTTTTAACAACCACCACTGCAACAGAATTTCTCTCTAGCTGTTAAGAACTGTCACTCTATCTTTAACGGCGAAATGTACCAGCATATTGATGGTGTGGCTCTTTGCTAATATATTCATGTCCTTTTACGAACAATCCTGGCTTAATAAATGTCCTTCTTCATTCAAACCACTTCCGTCTACCGCAAACCTACTTTCATTGGCCTCTTCACTAACTTCCACAGCTTCATCTCACTTACTAACAAACTTTCACTAGTCTCCTGCTTACTTCATCGCATCTTCAACCTTTGTTCTACTTACAAAAATTTTCATACACAACTAGAATTTACCAGAAAGTCACTCAACAAAAACGGTTTTCCTTCACGTATAATTGACCAAATCACACGTCACTTCCTTAACAACACCTTTGCCCCCAAACCACCTGTTATGACTGCTCACAAAATGCCCATCTATTTTTGTCTTCCTTTCACCGGCATACAAATCAATAGCCTTTGTGCTGCAGCCTTCCCATATATATCTATCAAATTTGTTCTCCGCACTTCCCGACCTATCTCTTCTTTCTTCCCCTTTAAGGACAAAATTCCCAAGCCTCTGAGATCTGGTGTAGTCTATTTCTTCAAGTGTCGAAGCTGCAACGCCTCGTATGTGGGTCAAACCACACGTCATCTACACACCGGATCTTTGGAGCACTTTGGAATATCGCCCCTTACAGGCAACCAATTTTCCCACCCTGCGTTATCAAGCATCTTTGTTCACATTAACGCAACTAGACACACCCCCCAACTTGGACGACTTTAAAATAATCTCCTCTTCTAACGATTCTTTTGAACTCTCCATTCATGAAAGCCTTCTAATCAATAAATACAAGCCTTCACTTAACGTGCAAGGAAACTTCATTCCACTTAATTTCTTTTAATGTCTCTTTATTTTACTTTCTAACTTCCTTATCATATAATCCATTTGATACCGGCTTCTTTAGTAGTAATTTAACACTTTTTTGTAAATATAATATCTTGTCTTAACATTCTATTTATTTTTCTGAAGATATCTTGAGTAAAGACGAAACGCTTTAATAAATCCAATTTTACAATTTTTCTATGGCTCTAATCAAATTTTTATGTTAGGCACTAATTTTTATTACACGTATTCGATTTCCTCTCGGCAAGTTTCTCGCTACTATTTTAAATGATACGCATTATGTATATGTATGTATCCATTCCATTTTGCTTTACTTATGATTGAAGGACAATGAGAGACACATGCTCACTTTCTTTAAGTGCACATGCCAATAATTTTAATGTGTATTTTTCTCAACTTACACAGACAAGAAAATACAAATATGTTAAATATGAGATTACGGAGTAAAATAAGTTGAGTTCTCCCTGTCTAAGTTTAGAAAATCAAACAAAAAAAATATGACATCTATAAACTTTACCCAGCAATCTATGATGATAATGACATGTTACCCTAAATCTGGAACCACCTTGCTTGCCTGGAGCATATTTTGAAAATTCGGCAATTTGCTCTTCAACGTTGGCCTCGCTGCATCTTTTATGAGCTCTGACGCAGGCTTCTAACAAGTGAAACGAAACAGAAAAGACACTTTAAATAAATTGCATAGATGAAAAACTAAATCGTAAGCTGAATGATAAACAACAATTCATTATAGTGATATATGCAGAACAGTTTAATGTATTAGCTTTTAAAACTTGCAACAATATTCCTTATGACAAGGAGCAACATAAATGGCTGTATTTCCAATTCATGAACGAGAAAAAAAGACAAAACATAGTACTGCTGCAGCAATCATTATCGTCTAATTGTGCTTACTTGTTATAACTTTGCAGAGGGCAAGGTGTTGAAATGTTCGCTTTGACTTCATGCCTTTTAAACTATATTGGGACCATAGATTATTTGTTCCCAGCTTTGTCATAATTCTTCTAACACTGTTTGCACAGGTGTTTGCACACAGTGCTACCAAAAACTGCAGCTAGTAAAGAGAGTAAAAGATAAATTATATGGAAAAGTTCAATTTAGACATACCTATATATATATGTTTGAAAGTTTGTAATCCAGGCATTGAATACATAAAAGATAAAAGTTTCTCCGGATTTTGAATGATTTTTATTGAGCTTTCAACTCGTTGCTTCGAGCCTTCATAAGAATGAGGATATTTATTTACACGTGTTTTAGCTTGTAGACGTTTAGAGCGTCTAATTGGATAAGTGGGTGGATTAATGTGATTGGATGGGGTGAAATGCGTTGCCATGGGTTTTGGTGTATTGTTAATATGATTGGTGTTAATAATATTAGAGTGTAGTGTTTTAGTTTTGGTGTTGTTTGTAGTTTTTTTGTCCCTTTTCTTTAGTTGTGAGTATATGATGGGTATGTCGATATGTCTGTTTATTGATTCGTTGTCTATACTGTACCAAGCTTCTTTAAATTCGCGTGCGTGTTTAGTCTGTGCGCGTCCGAGTACTTTAGTTTCTGTCCAGTCGAATGTGTGGTTGTTTCCGTGGGTATGTTCTGCCGGTAGTGAGTTCGGATCTCGTCGTTTTATGGCGTTTTTGTGTTCTGTTAGTCTTGCTTCAATTTTCTTAGATGTTTGTCCTATGTATTGCTTTGAACAGTCTTTACATGGTATCCTGTAGATCGCGTCAGTTGTATCATGAATTGTTGTCTTGTCTTTATGTTTGGTGAAACATGATTTGAGTTTTTGTGTAGGTTTGTGGGCGACGTTAATATTAAATGGTCGAAGAAGTCTGGCAGTCATTTCTGATGTTCCGTTTATGTATGGTAATGTGACGATTTTTACTGTTTCGTCCGGTATTTTGTTGTTTTGTTTTGTATTTTGTATATAGTTTTGTTTATGAAGTTTCTAGGGTAATTGTTTTTAATAAATGTGGAGTATAAGTAGTTGCGTTCTGTTTTTTTTGCTTCTTCCGTATTACAATGAGTGTTTATCCTGTTGAAAAGTGCTCGAATGCAGCTTATTTTGCGTTGTGTTGGATGATTGCTGTTGAAATCGAGTATTTGGTCTGTGTGGGTGGTTTTGCGGTATACTTGTGTGTTTAGTGTACCGTCATCTGTTCTGGTTAGTAGGATGTCGAGGAAGGTAAGTTGTTTGTCGTGTTCTTCGTCTTTAGTAAAGGTAATGTTCTTTGTGGTATTGTTTATGGTGTGTAGGATTTGTTCAGTTTTGTCTTTCTTGACTATGGCAAACATGTCGTCGACATATCTTTTCCATAGTCTGATGTTTGTGTTGTTTGTAACTGATTGTGTTTCGAGGTGTTGCATGACAGCTTCTGCGAGGAAGGTGGATAGTGGTGATCCCATTGGTGTGCCTGAAATTTGTCTGTAGTATGTGTTTTGGAAGGTGAATTCAGTGGAGAGGCAAAGGTTGAGTAAGTCTAGGATTTCATTTTTGTCTAGTTGTGTTGTAGCTTGCCAAGTTTTGTCGTTTGTGAGTAGTTCGTTTGTAGTAGTTTCTAGTATTTGTCTGTAGTAGTTCGTAATTACAACTTTAAAGACGTGAACAAACTTGACTACGTTGCCGACCTGGAATCCGCTTTAAAGTACACCGACTTAACAGACCAAACGAAAAAAGACATTCGTCACAAAATCACAAATAACCTCTGCCACAAACAACCTGTCACCCTAAACTACGAAGAACTACGAGCAATTAAAAACCTACAAAACGACGACCAAATAATCATATTACGAGCTGACAAAGGACGCAAAACAGTTATCATGGACAGATCAGAATACATCGACAAAGCCAAAACCAGATAATCTGATAATCTGACCCCTAACGTCACGAAAATCGTCATTAAAATTACGTTTCAGACTGTAACAAACGTGCATGTTTTCAAGCTTCAAACACAAATGGTAGAAAAAAAGTCAATATTATGTTACGTAATTGCAAATGAAACTATCGTTTTCACCTTTCCAAACAGATAAAAGGGAAGGGCTATGCCCTCCTTAGTCACATTTATTACGTAACACTTGAAAGAGTCATGTATAAAAAATAGGCGGTGCCAATAAATATTACTAAATACGTATGGGTGGCTAACTTTCCAAAACTTACCGACTTTCTTCTGGATTTTTCTTCATCAAGACTTGAGGATAGGTCCTCAAGTTCTTCAAACGAATCTAAGGGATTACGTACAACATCTTCCAAAATTTCGTGCTCGTCTACACCTTTCGTAGCGCTTAACAGAGCAAGAAATATTGACAACGCTTCTTCTTGCTTATCAATTAATGTTTCCAGTTTGGTGAGAACTTATCTTTGAAGCCTACAAGATAGATAAGAAAATAATAGAATAACTTATGTATAACCTACGTAACATCTTAAAAATATAAACCCTTACAAAATGCTAACAAGAAAATTCCAATAAAAACTCGCATCAAATTCCTAATTGAATACGCATACATAATAACAACGCTATTCAATATATATATATACTGCAGAAAAGGTACCATTATTGATTGGTTGAGAACATCTTCCTGCAGGTGTTATGTTCATAGAACTTGTCGAAGGCGTTTCGTGCGATGTAAGGTCATGCGCATCTGCAAAGCAATCACGTGTTGCAGTTAGTTGTGAAGAAAAAAACAACATTTCAAACGACACGAAATGAACATAAATGAAAACGTAACAACAAGACATGCAATAATGAATTGTAAGAAAAGCTTGCCTAAGAAACCACTGTTTCGTTGAGAATGTCTTTCTCTTGTTGTGCCAGTTGTAGGAATTCCTTGTGAAGAGACGTTGCTTATATCTACAGAGAAGACACGTACTGGGTTTAACATATATCTTTATTGCACGCACGAACGTATACATCTCGATGTATGCAACAAAGTGCGAGCACAACCAGGCAAATTTGGATGACCATTATCCTTAACAAGAGCAAGCAAACCATCAACTGCATTTTGCTTAATTGAGTACTCATTCACTCAATCAACTAACCCTTCTTGAAAAGAAACATTTAAAGTATTATCTTCAAAATCAGAAAAATGCATTTCCCAAATGTCTACATTCACATGCACTAAAGAATCAGCTTTTCCATGGCAAAAAGAAACATCTAAAATATCAACGTCACCAGAAACAGAATGGTCATTTTCACCAATATCACAATTATAACCAAATTGCAAAGAGAAAGGACAGACAATGGTTCGAGCTGATTTTTGTATAAAGGTTGTGAATGTTCAAGGTCATTATCAAAAACATTATAGAGCAGATTACTACAGCCATCATCATTAGGCAATGCATCACTGTATCTTAAAGCTCTATTAGCAGCAATCCAGTTTTTCTGTATTGCATCCGTTACGCTTCATTATGATATGAATTAAAATAAATAATAAAATGTAACTGTCACTCTATTTATTTTTGATTGATTTAAACAAATCCTAATGTCACAACCCATTCCCCCTAAGTGCTGGTGATCGAAGTCTCATTCACAGGTCATGGTAACTTATACGTCTCCTCAGCCATTTGTAACTTATTCTCTCTTTACATGCATGTATCATACCTAATTTATACATAACCCTAAAATTTTAAGTATAACATTATAGTTTACTAGCTAACAACAGCAAACTATTTTGTTTAAGGCTATGTGATTCTTAATCAAAAACATTTTGTAAATCACATAATCACATAACCCCATGTTAAAAAATATTAATCATAGAGCAGTATATATAATAAAAAGGTTAATGTTATAAAAAGAAACAAGAAAAATTAACAAAGTTTTCGTCGAAACAATTGAAAATTAAGGCTTTAGTATAGAAGAATGAAAATATATTTGTTAAATGTCCACAGCAATAAGCCAATAACCCGCAGGCTTTTCTGAATATTGGCGATCAATAATTGGCCTTATCACTAAAGATAAAAAAAATTGGCCTTTCTTAATAATGAGAACAAATTGCCTATGTCGAAATCATTCAAAAAAGCCTAGAAAGCTACATGAGCAAAGTAACACACAAATTCGTTGTTTTACGCATTTATCATCAATCCATCATATACATTTCAACCATCCTTTGTCGATTTGGATCATTTAAATTTTAAAGCTTTTTTGTGCTTATCAACACACCAAATTACTTAAGTAAGATGTTGCTTGTGTTATTTGTGGCTAAATACAACAAATTGTATGCTTTATTTAACCAACGGTAATGGCAAATCGACAATGGCATTATAAGACGTTTATTGTTCCTCATTGTCTTTGTTCAACAATAACTACAATATCTAAACAAATAAAATTTCACCTTACTTTGATCACGCTACAATATAGCAGCACTTGTTCTAAGAATAAGAAATGAAACGGGTCAACCGTCAACCATTGATCGCGAAATCGTGTTACACGTGAATATACATGTTGAATTATTCCTTGACAAAGTTCTTTGTTTATTCAAATAAAATCAAAACAGCATATACTTACGATGAAAACGTTGATCAGCTCGTTCTTGAATGTGTTGTATCAAATATATATTCTTTCTTGGGTGAAAAATTTTAATTGCAAAGATCGACTTGCCACTTGTAATGAAATATACAGAAACACGGTCAAAATAGTATTCTGAGCCCGCAAATTTTGTTAAGGTCTACAGCGATTTATGTTTCTTTTATTGCATATTTCGCCAACTGTGTCGCATCGGTCGCATTCGCGTCATAACGTTATCAAATTATATATTAAAATTTATTTTTTATTAACGTGATACAGCGAACGCATATTGATATCATTGTTCAGAATAAACGACCGACGTTATTTTTATTTTCGACATTCATACAATGTTAAATGCAACGCACGACGTAAACATGATATGACATGAATTGACGTTAATCTTAACATTTAACCAACGTTCATACAACGTTATACATTAACGAAGCTGCAACCAAAAAATCACCTTAATCTAACGTTCATCTTTACGTTTAGAAAACGTTCATACAACGTTAGACATTAACAACGTCGGCGACCAAAAAATCACCTTATACTAACGTTCATCTTAACGTTTAGACAACGTTGTTTTAACCTTACCACGTAACAGTCGTAACTTCCTTACCGAATGTGAATGTTAACGTTCAACCAACGTTGACACAACGTGGTTAAAATATGAATAAGGAAAACAACGTGGTAAGAACTTTGTATTAACGTTAAGGCATAACGTAACGTAAATACAACCTTCGGCCAAGGTTAAAAAACGTCGTGTGCTAGCTGGGGATGCTTTTAAGGATGTACAAAACACTCTACTTTTTGATAAAATCAGAAAAGAAGTACAAAATTTAATTGATTTGGTCAATCTAAATGAGAATGAGCATGGTTAGTTGATAGATTTAAAGTTTTTTTTATTATTTTTATTAAACAATAATGATTATTCATTGATATTGATGACGCACCAAGCAGTTTGATTACACTGTGCAACAAAATTGAAGTGAAAAAAAAAAGTACAAGACATATAAGACCTGTTTCGGTGTAAGAAAAGTATGCTGATTCCAAATCTGACATTTATTTCTCTGGATTAGGTGCCATTTTCATGTACTGTAATATTATATATTAAAAAAACACATATATATATAAAACAACGAAATCACCAGTTTAAACAACATTTGTCCTCTTAACTCTCTTGTGTAGAGTGTCATCATCCTTTTTTAAATTCCAGCAGTAGTCTGCCAACATACCAGTGTTCCATTTTCCTTTAAAACGTTTTTCTATTAATGAAATATCTTGATGGAACCTTTCGCCATGTTCATCACTCACATGGCCAAGATTCTCAGCAAAAAAAATCCAAATGAGAGTGGAGCACATGAACTTTTAGAGACATGTTACATCCCATATCATGAAAATGACGCAGTAGATCATTCACAACTTGCACATAGTCTTCTGAACGATGTTTTCCCAGGAAGTTATCACAAACTTTCTTGAATGACTCAAAGGCACATTTTTCTTTTCTCGTGAGATGTGTGTCAAAAATTTCATCAAGAACAATTTTTCGAATTTGGGGACCTACGAAGATACCTTCTTTTATTTTAGCTTGACTTAATGAAGGAAACTTTTCTGCAAGATATGCAAATGCCAAGGAATCCTTGTCTAGTGCTTTCACAAACTGCTTGAACAAACCGAGCTTAATATGCAAAGGCGGTAAATGGATTCTATCACTTTGCAGAAGTGGTTTGTGTTTGATGTTATGTTTTCCCTGCTCAATTTCATCTCTAGCGGGCCAGTGTTTGCGTACATAGTGTTCAGCTCTTGCTCTAGAGTCCCACAAGCACAAGAAGCAACAAAATTTAGTATAGCCTGGCTGAAGGCCAGTGAGCATGGCTATAACCTTGAAATCTGCACAAACATGCCATTTATGGACTTCATACTTTATGCTTGTTAAAATAGTTTTTAAATTTTCATATGATTCTTTCATGGTTGTGCTGTAAGCTATAGGAACAGGTGGCAGGGTGTTCCCATTGTGAAGCAAAACAGCTTTTATACTTTCCTTGGATGCATCTAAGAAAAGTCGCCAGTTGGTGTTATCATATGGTATTTCCAGTTGTTCAAAAAGTTCAATAATGTCATTGCAGAAACATAAATCATCTTTGAAAGTGAACAAAAAAAATGCAAGTTTTGTGCACGTTTTCTGTATAATGTTATTTTCACACCTTTTCTAAGAAGATTTCGTTCTTTAAGCCTTGATGCAAGAAGTTCACTTTTGTCTTTGGTTAAATAAAGATCTCTGCATAAGTCATTTAGAGCGTCTTGAGAAAATAGTATTGGTTTATTATTGCTTTCTGAATTAGAAAATTCTACTGATTCATCACTGTAATGTTCATCCCCACTGCTTGAACTCCACATTTCCTGATCAGGGTTTTGGTACAGGTAATTCTTTTGAGTGCTCAACTGGGCGTATTGCTGATTGCAAATTTGGGTAAACAATGTGTTTCTTTTTTTTCGCTGTTGTACAGCCCGTATAATCTTGCTGACAAAAATAGCAATCATTAGAATGATCTTTCTGCTCTCGCCAAATCATTGGCACACCAAACTTCATGTGAACATTCTTTTTTGCATACCATGCGCTCAATGTTTTCACACATGTAAGGCAACAGGCATGAGGAGCCCATGGCTTGTCTTGGTCTCCCATATCACAATGAAAGTACGCCTTGTACAATTTCTTGATATTGCTGGTAATGCTGCGCCTTTCTTTAGCAAATGTTAATTCGCCACATATGTAGCAGAATTTGCTTGGATCATTTTTGCACTGTCTTGAAGTCATCGTCAAAGCCAAAATCTAAAGAATAAAGACAATTATCAAATAAGGTTCTGAGCTATAAAAAATTAAAAAAAACCTTGACAATTAATATTTTACATTTTTCTGACTTATATTGAATTTAAAAAAATGAAAAGTGCAGAACATCATTTATTATATATTTTCACAGACTAAATTTTTTTAATTAAACTACCTACGTGTTTAAAAATCAAAAATTTAATAAAATAAAAGCATTTTAATAGACTTTATGGACTGCAAAGTCGTCAGTATCCCATTTTTGACGCCATTACTGAAATAAACGTACTAAAGCATATGAAAAGAGCCATAATATCATTAAATAAAACAGATTAAAACCAAACAACATATACATCGCAAGTGAAAACAAATATGGCTGATGTGTTGTCATGCTTTGTCTACCCACCCTCCACTCCCTACTGTCCCTTTTGTCTAACAACCCTCCCCTCCCTACTTGCCTTTACTATACCATCCCACATGTATTTTGAGCAATATCATAAATATATGTGCATCCCATACACGGGTGAATCCAAAACTCTGTTTAGGCATAGATTAAAATATTAATTAGAATTTTGAAATCCACAGTCGTGAATTTCAGTAATGGCGAATTTTGAAAAATCTATGCCTAATTCAACAAAACGAAGGCCAAACATGAATTTCTCATATTATTGTGCATATAAAAATGACCACAGATTTTCTGTACTTTTTTGAGTGTTGCACAGTGTTATCTATGCACATGCAGAAAGCAAAAAAAAATGCTGATGATGAACTTGTTAGGAAAGCACAGTATGTAAAATGAAATGACGTGATTTCACCATATTTGAGGCTTTCGTATTTTTATCAAAATTCTTACATACTTCAGAACAAGTCAAGACACGGGTGCTAGAGATAAAACAAAGGAAATTGTATTTCTTTTGCCCCTCTTTTTTCAATCCATGCCAAAGATGCTTTGCGCCAGATCCTTAAAGGCAACCAAGCAACTTAGGAACAATGCTTAAAGTAGACACACATTGTCACAGCCATGAGCACCATACTTGGGAAAGCAAACCTTATGTCCTTAGACGCAGGAAGTCTCTTTGAACTTTGCCACATTTTGCGCAGCGGGCATCAGTGACAAAAGTGCTTCGGTTTTTATCATATGGCTGTTACAGGATAGAAGAATTAACTTTTTGCTAGCATCATTTTTTTCCCTCCATAAATTTCTATTGGCAGTCCTATAAACAAAAAATATGCTCAAAATTATGCAAGGACTTGGGGAAAACTGTCATCACGCATTTCTTTGATTTATGGCATATAAGGAAAAGCAAGGAAATATTAGAACTTTACGCTTGAATGACATGTTGTCATCAATTATCATAACTATTTCTTGTAGAAAGTCAGAACGATATAATAAAACTCGCAAAAGTAAGAGATTTTCAATCATAAGAAAATGGAACAAAGCTGTCCTCAGGCAGTTCTACTGGGCATGGCTACCTCAACATTGCTCGTTATTGTCAAAGTCAAATGGGTTAAATTAGAACTTTTTTGGCACATCATCAAGAAGCACAAGAATTGCCTTAGCAAAATATACAGCAAATGTGTTCATATATGAATATAGTGAGAACTTAAGCCACGGGTTTGACATACTAAAGGTGATAATGAAGTTCTCCTTTTCACAATTTTAATAAGAAACTGCAAAGAAGAGCACTATATTATTTAACAAGGTTCTATTGCTTATAAAAGGCTAAAGGAAATACTAACCAACAAAAATGTGGTTACGCTCATAGAGTAATCATCTTACGTTTAAACAAGCTGTTTGGAATGTTACCATTCGGTAGTAATTCGTTTTGCTATGAAGATAACTTTATATTCTTATTATGTTGTGCTTTGCAGGTGAGGCCTACGATACATCTAACAACATTTTGCCAAATATCACAAGCGTTTAGTATCTTTCTTATTACAAACTCTTATTCAATAACAATAATCCTCGCTCTAGCGTTTCACTGCTTATATAATGTCTGGATACTAATTAAAAAGTATGACATAATATTCTTTTCATATATATGGCATAAATGCTCTTTAAAACATATGACAAAAGATAACTAAAGTTAGAACGTAACTATGTAATGAAAATTAATAAGTATAGCAAAGCTAAACGATAAGTCTGACGTTATCTTAACGTCGCATGTGTATTCCTCTACACACAATACGATAAATGTGGAGAATCCCCTATCCGGAGATATAATGAAGGTCCTTCATTACTGGTGATGCAAAACTCAAAATCAATATACAAAAACGTTGAATTAAGCAATCAAAAACCTTGTAATTTAGCCATAAAAACACAGGAAATAGAGTTTTTGATCCCTTAATTTTCAAATTTTCCATGGGACAATGCCCCCTGATCCCCCCTACATAAGTTGCACTTGGCAGGACGAGATTGTTACTAAGTTAAGACCACTGATATTAAATAGACTAGATAAAGCAACTACTACAAAAATTTCTAGCAAAATTGAAGCCGGAAGTGAATCTGCATGAGTCAAAGTCGGGACCCATTTTCTATTGATTTGTATTACAGAATCACAGTTTTGCTAGATTCTTGTCTTTACGCGATTCTGGTCTGGCCAGTTCTATTATCACAACTATAGAAATACAGTATGTGAAGAATATTTTGGACAAATATTTTACAACGCTGTGAATCTTGATTCAAAAATTTGAAGGAGTGAACATTTCTTCAATACACAACCTTGTTTTTGAATAAGACGAAAAAATTTTTTCTCAAAATTGATTAAAAGTGTAGGATTAATGATCGTAGAAAACTTTGATAGAAATTAAGTTCTGTCAACCATTTGTATATTATTCAGAAGCGAAAATTTAATGACCATTTATTTTGGGTAAATCTTTAAAAACATATGATGTTAGAACAAATTCGAACTATTACTTTTCAAATGAAACAAATTTCTTTTTTTTTCTCAAGTATTGAGTTAAACACCAGTCTTCTATTCGAGTTTGCTTCATATGATACTACTTAAAATTATTGGGTGGTAATTGATTTTAGATTACTTAGTCTGCTTGTGGCTTGTAGATGTTTGTAAATTATTTGCTATTATTATATGGCAAGCATCACTTCCATCAAAACGGCGCGCTTTGATTCGCTAAGAACTGTTTTTGCCGGTCCATTTTTCTCCGTAATCAACCACAGTCCAAAACGCGTAAACAAACTCTTAAAGCAAACAGCATAACACACAAAATGAAACAAAAACAATTTGAGAATATGAGTCGAAAGAAATGCACTTGAAAACAATTTAAATATCCAGACGATACTGTTTGAAACGACTTCTTTTTTACTTTCAAAAAGTAGAAAAATGAAATTCAACTCGTACAAAGCAGCCAGCACGAGAAAGAAAGCAAGCTTCATTTCATGGCTTTTCAGCAATATTCAAATCTATGTAGAGTAAAAATTGCCAATTTCCATTACTCGTTAAAATTACTTTCTTCTCAGTTAGTGATATTGATCACACAGGTATTTTTGGTCTAGAAATAAGTCACAAATTTTTTATTATTTCTCCAGTAAGGCAAAAGCGCCTACAACTCAGAAGAAAGAGCATTTAGGTCAGATACCAATTTTTCTGTCTTATCTGGAAGGATTTGAAAAGAATCAATAAAAACTTTTATGATTTATGCAAACTTCCTCCAACCAGAGTGACCAGACAAGTATATATATTCAATAACAGCTTTCTCTTTAGGTAAAATGCGGTAGAGTCGAAGTTGTTCACCAATTGAAAATTGCGAATCAAGTTTCCCAGCGTTTTGAAGTCGAAATAACCGTAAATTTTCTTTCAAATATTCTTCACATCTTACTATAGTTTTGATAAGAAAATTGTCTCGATCAGGATTGTGTAAAAGGCAAATTATTGCAAATACTGTGATTCTGCAATACAAATCTATAGAAAAGTGGGTTCCAAATTCGAGTGATGCAGATTTTCTTCCGGCTTCAATTTTTGCAGTTGGATGCGTTATTGGGTCTATTTCAGATCAGTGGTTAAGACCAATTTATGTGGCGCGTACAATGGTCGCACAAAATGGCGCATACCCGTAAGACAAGGTTTGTACAAAAAGACAGAGGTCTGATATTTCTTAGTAAAGACAGAGAAAGCGAGGTTATTAAAAGATTTATTATATGGCAATATTTGACCTGAACGAAGCTTACGTTTTTTCTCGTCCTTGCTGTTCTGTACGGGTTTGCTTTCACTTTTATAGTTTTTATCAGTAAAACTTAAATTCTATCAATATGTATCCTCCGAGTATATTTCTTTGGACTGGCATTTTTAAAAGTTTATTGTTTTGCTTTTCTTGCGTTTTGCTGTTTAGCTTACGAAGTTTGTTTACATTTGACTGTAAAATTAAGCATTTTAGACCGTGGTCGATTACGGGAAAATAATGGACCGGCAAAAATGTTTCTGAGCTACTCAAAGCGCCAGATTTTACCCGAAGTGACGCTTGCCATATAATAAATACTCCGTATTATACATAAAATTAAAAACATAAGTTTGTTATACACAAGCAAAGTGTAATTTTATAAAACACCGAAAATCGGCAAATGTCGGCGGGCAAGTGTCCATGAAATCTTAAAAAAATTACACATTGATAGGAGAAACGAAGAATCTTTTCTTGTTTTCGTTTATTTGTATTAGGCTACCACTTGTGGTCTGCAAAATTTGATGAGATTGACATGCTGCAAAACGCAACTATTTTAACAATTCTATAAATTATTTGCTTTATTTACTAGGAGTTACTATCCCAAGGAGTTGCTGCCTCTCTCCCTCCCCAGCAGGCAAAAACTGCCATTTTCAAATTGTATTGGGTGTTTTCTATTATTTATCATCTGTCATATATGACACAAAACCAAATGGACAAAAAAGCATAGCTATGTTTAAAAGATGCAATTGATATGATGAGTAACAAACCGCAATATTTTGAAATAGACAAGCTAATTGTGTCACCTTTTATTTTCAAATTCTCATATAACTAAGTCAATATATAGAACAACATGCAAGAAGTAACACTGTATGTATGTATATATGCTAATATTAAATTGGAAGTAATTGGACGACCAGTTTTCCAAAGTTCATTTTACCAAAATTTGCATGCTTAAGACAAGCGATTGCAAAGCATTTCTTTATTTAAATGACTGATCTTTACATGTATATGTTGCAGTTGACATGAAAGTTAGAGCTCAGCCAATTAAATCATATTATCTGGAGCTTAAAGGGTGTTTTCTGTATTTTGTTCCATTTGTTGCCAACCAGCACAAGATCAACACGTCTATTAACACCAACAATTATATGGTGTCATTTGTATCTCTCAGTCTTCCAATGTTTGTGTGTAAGTATATTATCTGATTTTATCTGGATTCATGTTACTCAGTTTTTTTTCAGCAAGGAATCACTTTTATACACAAACGAACTTGAATGGTACAATCCATGTTGCGGTCATTATTCATGGCACATTAGCATTCTATTTACAGACATTATACATACAGTGATCATGAGCATGGATTTGATTTGTTGTATAGGACTGATTACACACTACATTAAATATAGGGGAATCAGACGTATAGGACTCCATGTATTCCCCAAACTGTAATGTTTGTTCCTTTAAATTTTAAAATGCGTTGCTATATAAACGTCACGCGCTCGGAAAGCCGACGGCAAGCTAGAGCAAGCTTAAGTAAATCCGATTTCGGTGCTTTGCTTGCAAAAATTATAGAGACGTCGTTGCAAATTTAAAGGACATATACAAGCTAGAAGACAACTTTATTTTATTGTAATGCCTAGAGCGTGAAAATAAGACGTACCAAGTTTCAAAGTCGTCCGCAAAATATTTCAAAAGAAGTTTAGGGTTATAATCGGTAAAAACACGATATTCGATGACCATTGCTAAAACGCCGTAAGATTGTTTAAGTCTGGGAACTGGGAAGGAGTGACGTATTAGTTGACATAAACAAGCATCGTTCTTATATCGTTCTACGACTCGCACGACTTTCGGTAGTTTGCTATTTAGGTAGTTTGCTAGTTATTGTTTTTTATTTAACAAAAATTAATGGGTTCTTCTTCTGAAGAAGCCGACTATAAAATTGTCATCAATAACAATGAGGTACAACCTTACATGTTTGAGCCTTTGGCCAACGCGCAAGGTGGTCATAATGATGACAATTTTCGTCATCGGAAAGCGAAGATGATTACATTCACAGAAATGGAAATGTTGAATGGTTAGTTAAAACGAGATTTATGTTATTTAATGGCTTCAGCTTTGCTCATTTTTGATTTGTGGCGAGTCAATGGGACAGGTATTTCTTTCACTCCAGCGACGTCAAGAGCTTTGGACAGTGTTGGATTAATGCGTCCGCAGTAGAAAAGCTCTTTCATCAAGTCCTTAAAGTGCTTCTATGACGAAAACTTAACGTTAAAAAATCATCGATTTTAGCATTCAATAGTTTTAACACATATCAATTATTGCTTTCGTAAAATGTAAGCAAAAATAATAAGATAACGAGTGGATTGTTGACAAACTGCACGGATATAATTATTTAGCACTAGATTTTAATTTATGCATGATTTAATTGGCGCGTAATTTGACGCGTAATATTCATTAGGACAAAAAGGATTTTAGTCGATTGTGCAGGTGACAGTTACCACATGCTAACCTGAGCGAAAGATTAATCATTGTTTTGCTTTGATTATATCTGCTAACCTGAAGTGAAATTAATGTAGATCGTGAGGACCCGGCAAAGAAGTGAGTTTACGTATTTACGTTTGGTATACTGTTAAACAGAGCACATATGTTATTCATACTATATCATTATTTACTAGATCGAATAAAAATTATTTACTTATAATCTATACGATTCCGACTCACGTATCTATCGGACTGCTAACCTGAGAATCCAACGAGGGAGTTATGAACATTTGAAATGTCTAACTTTCCTGTCCGCCATTAAAATCGGCCGTTTTGAATATATGCAATTATCAAAGTCTGTGACGTCATAGTCTTAACACGGCAAAAAACGCACATTGGAAAGTATACAAAATAATACATAAATAGAGCAAACAAATGTCAAATTCGTCGAGTTCTAGCTCGCTCTCAGAGTCTTCGATCGAGACAAACGCATCGGTTTTTCATCCGAATTTGTGACGGCAAATTCGAGCGAATCTAATTCGGAAATTTTGCCATTTGTCGATAATATTGAGCCGCTTGCTTCGCCCGATGAAATTGCTGAGTACGAAGCTACAGTCGCAGAAGAACGGCGGGTTGAAGACATGCTGCAAGATCGTTTTGATGCCCGTGTTGATGTTACTTCCTGGTAAGATGTCATTTTTAGAGTGTTACTTTGATTTGAATCGTCTGCCTTTAGCTATGATAACGTATAATTTGGCCAATATTAAAGGGTGAATGTGGCCATTGTTCGTTGGATCTTGTTGTCAACCCTCAAGAGTGCCGATGCTGCATGAAAATAGAGCAATGCCGTGGTAAAATGTATCAGTACGAAATCGAAGAAAGGAAATGCATTTTGATCACCCTGGCTTTAACGAAGTTTGCTTGAGCGAATTTGTTTTTCAAATAGCAGCTTCGTTAGGTTTAAAGCCAGTTAGGTTTAAAGGACACATGCAAGCTAGAAGACAACTTTATTTTATTGTAATGCCTATAGCATGAAAATAAGACGTACCAAGTTTCAAAGTCGTCCGCGAAATATTTAAAAAGATATTTAGGGTTATAATCGGAAAACACGATATTCGATGACCATTGCTAGAACGCCGTGAGATTGTTTAAGTCTGGGAACTGGGAAAGCTAGAACGCCGTGAGATTGTTTAAGTCTGGGAACTGGGAAAAAGTGACGTAATAGTTGACATAAACAAGCTTCGTTCTTATATCGTTCTACGACTTGCACGCAGTTCTTGCACGGCTTTCGGTAGTTTGCTATTACTGTTTTTTATTTAACAAAAATTATGTCAAATAATGGATTCTTCTGAAGAAGAAGCCGATTATGATATTGTCGTCAATAACAATGAGGTGCAACCTTACATGTTTGAGCCTTTGGCCAACGCGGAAGGTGGTCATAGTAATGACAATTCTTCGTCATCGGAAAGCGAAGATGAATACATTCACAGAATTGGAAATGTTGAATGGTTAGTTGCATTTTATTGATGCTTCATTGTTTTTCCCAAAGTAGAAAGAATGTTTTTATCTTTTAGGTGCGAGTGTGGCTTTGTGTGGTCATGAGTACAGGACGGGAAAGTATATGTTGCCAAGAGGTAAACAACACTGATCCTCTGATACATGGCGATCATATTTGCATCACACAAGAGGAAGAGTTTGCCACAGTATGTACAAACGAAGCTGTCTTAAAAACAGCTATGGTCGTGTACACACATGACATTGGACCTATGCCTGAGAGTGAAGAAAACGAGTAAATATTACCTTAGAAGTGTAATTACGTGTATGTCGACAAGTGTATAATGCCGATAAGTATCTTAGACAAAATTTTGTATCGTTCAGAGCATTACGCTACACGGCGTACCGACAGTAGACGGCTTGGGTGCATGGCAGGTTGGGAAAAAAGTACCGACTACCCATACCTTCTTGTGCTGTGGACAAAATCCGGAAAGCATTTCCTTCGCCTTCTGGAGAATACAAAAGATTTGAATATGCTCAACACTACTGAATGGTAGGGCTTATGGCGTAAGACAAAGTCTGTTCATTTGTAATTATGTTTATTTCATGTGGGACGTTATTTCTTTTTATCTTAGACAAACTTCTTTTGAGGTAAAACGCACAAACATTTCGAGCCGATGTCGACACATCGTGGTCGTCGTTTACAAGAAAGTCGCCATGTTCTGCAAGAACGTCGTCAATAATCTAAAATTATAAAGCTCTTCAATTTGGTAATGTTATATAGCTTAGTTTTTGATAAAAGTAAACAAATATTGCTAACTATAACTATAATGTTCACCTCTTGCCTTCCTCTCTTCTCAAATGCAGTTCTAACATTTCTTGGCTGCTTCCTTTTAGATGCTACACTTGTGGGTTCCACAGAGTATTCAAAATCGTGGGTACAGCATCCTTCTTAAGGCGAAGCTGTCCTGCTGTCCATCCTACTGATTGCATCGCTTCAAAATTTTGCACGAAGCACGAACTCTCGAAATGTTGCGAGCACAATTTTGAGCTCATTGTTGGCTTCCAATTTTTTGCGTCTGATTTTTTCAATCCAAATATCTCGCATGCGCTTCTTTTCGGGAAACGAAAAAAAGAAACCTTTTGCTGCGTTTGGTTGTTCGTAGAAGAACCGTTTTTACAATTAAATGCTGCACAATAAACCAAATTTTCAATGCTAAATTGTCGTGCTGTTAAGAAGTTACCAATATATTTTGAACGAAGCGCGCAATTGACTGCGTTTAGCTAATGTCAACTATTACGTCACAACGACCTTTTTCCAATCGGTAGACGTCGTTAGCTCGTCGGGCATTTTCAATACGTTATCAGTAAAGCATCAACTTTAAACCTCCATATCTTCAAAAATATTTATCATTTGAGTCTCAAAGTTTGGTGAACTATTAGTTGGAGCTATACCTCTATGTAAAGTACAAAAAATAACAATCTGAATTTTATGTTGCATGTGTCCTTTAACATAAATTCATTGCTATTTTGAATGAAAGACCGTTTTCTTTAGTTAAAAAAGACTATATTGTCATTTGTCGTCCAAACACTTTGTTAAGAGTAAATCGTCTTTCACCGGTAAATCGAACGAAATTTTCTTCTGTAAACAGAGAGATGATCAAATGTGTTTAAATTGTCAAAGCAAACTTCCCTGTTAGTTCATTAGTTGAGTTGTCCTGATAAAATTTATAATTCTTCTAAAACTCTTATGGACGTTGTGGTCCATGAGCTATGAAGCCGAAATATTTATAGTTGTATAATTATGATATGTGCGTGTCAGTCTATTCTAAGGCCATGTTGTAGTTACTAAACTGATATATACCCTTCTATAATATGCTTTACTACAACTCTCAGTTCTGTACTTTTCTTGGCCATCACATTACACATACGTACATGTTTTAAAACGAACATCATTTGAGATGCTCAAACAGTTATACTACATGAAATAGTTCTTGGCTCTGGGACTGTCGAGTCAATATTGAGAGCTTTTACTAATTTATTGTCTACTTGTAAGAAAACACTAAATGTAGTCTTGTCCACCATGCGGTCAATAAAATATTCGTGCCATTAAAACAGCCTATAATAACATGAAAGCACATTTTTTTTGAACCGAGTGAATCGCCTTCACTCAAATCAGCAGCCGTTACAAAACATACTACTGCTAGTATAAGGTATTTTCGCAAATTTTCTTTCTGTTCGTTACAAAGGCAGTGTTACCAGATAAAATTTTAAAATACTCGTGCTCGCTTGAGTCAAACGTTCACAAAAATGGCAAAAAGTTCATATTACTTCTAATTTTTGTAATCGGATGTTAACGGATTAACTCGGAAATTTTCGGGAAACAATTTATCTATACATTCTTTACGAAAATGATGAAAATACAAAAAGTGCATAATATTTAGAAAAGTTCACAAAAAGCTCACAAACTTTTTTATTATCCACTCCCTTACATTAAAAAATCTTCTTAATTGGGAATTTCGCAATTATCAAGCGAGACAAATTTAACGTTCGAGTTAAAAATATCAATCACCATTACAAAGAAGATTTGTTTGCTGTTAAACTTAAATATTTGCACATGTACGAATTATATTCACAAATAATAAAGGTATCAAAATCAAAAATTTGAATATTTTGTACATTGGGACTAATAGCGCGTTTAGTCTAAAGGATTTTCCCCAATCCTCTACGACAAATATGTCCTCTACGACTTATATGCTGCTTTACTCGCTATATATTTTCTATAGACAACGATTCTATATTAGTCATCTATATTAGCGACAGTTATCTATATTAGTCACGTGGACGTTATATTGAGGGGGTTTGAGTTGATTAAAATTGAAACTATGAAGAAATAGACAAAACATTGTAGTGTAAAAAGATTTGAAATGAAAGGAATATTGATGGATCTAGTGAAAATTGTTGTTGGGTGAAACATTTCCATCATTAAACCCAAATTTTAATTCGAATTTTTTGATACACCATGTATATTTTATTTACCATCGAGATATGAATCAAATGATCATGAACAAGTATTGTAGAATTTTTCTGGTAAATAATTACAAGTTAGAGCACTCATAAAAACAAAACTGCCTTATTGTAAACGACGCAGTCGACACATGTGGAATATAGAGACTTTCTTATGCCAACATTGAATACAATATTGCAAAATAGCTGTCATAATTTATGGCCTTTGCTTCATTCTTCATAATCAGTATACGAAGTATTCATGGTGGAGATAGAATAATCGGCATTGGCTAGACTGCAGTTTAGCGGACACCCGAAGCGCTTATATGCGGAGCGTGGGCTTGTTTTTGCTTAGGATTATACGGTTAGGGTTTGGGTCAGCGTCAAAAGTGTCCGCTAAGCCGCAGTAGTCCCTCGTCATTTTCATCAAATTTTTACAAATGTCGACAACAAGAAGTGTAGTTTCTTGAATGAAAGCATTGAAATCAATATTTCTCAAATACCCTTTTTCCATAATTTATTTCACAAATTACTTTAGTCAAATGCAAATTATCTAATATTAAACGCATTTTATTCCCACTTAACGATAAAAGAATCCCGCCAACACGTAAGAATAAGAAGCCACGTGTACAGTGACAAAGCCAGCCCGATATTTCACTCCTATAATGAAATTTTAACAATAATTAATTTCTTTGTAAAGGTTAGAGCATGATCATGTGTGTTCTATGGGATTAAGAATCCCGAGCATTAGATAGAAACATTACGAGGGTGCAGCAAAAGGGCGATGCCAGTGGTTGAGTGGAAATATTAGCAGCAGTGATGCAAAATTTACTAACACATTAAAAATTATGAACTTACATTTTCCTCAGAGAAAGAACTTTTTCTACTTTTGTTTTATAACGTAAAATATTCTAGTGAAAGATAACATTAACAGATGAAGGATGAGACTTGAGATACAGTTTAAAAAAAGGTAAATAATTTCGTGTTACCATTAGGATATCAAACTATGCTTAGGTATTATGTCAACTGTTTGTGATTATATTTGCACCACCCTTTTTACGTATGTCTTTATCTAAATGTGCAAAAGCGTACCGAAAAACGCCCACACGTCTCTTTAAACTCAAATTACGATGAAATAGCTATCGTAATATCCCCTTCCTACGACGTAAAATATGGTTTTCCTCAGCAACCAAGTGATTAAAAATTCCATGTCAAGTGCTAGCATTTCCTACAAGTTTCTTTCGGAATAAAGACGCATTTCCTTCCTTTGTATATTTAGAATGAATTCAGTTTACTTCCCATGTTTCACCAAACAGATATAAAAATGAAGTAGATGGCTTTGTATTTTCACCTAATATTATCGAGAATACATGTATTTTCATCAATTTTCATCATCTTTTTGTAGTTTTAAATACATTTTTGACAAGTCATATCAATACGATATTTAACTCTCACCCACGGGTATTACAATAATATACTACAATAAAGCTAAAAACTTTTTAACATGCCTGAAACTATTCAACAACCTAAACAGGGAGAGCCGGAAATCGTATCAAAGGTTTTTATGTCAAGCTAAGTGGCCTGTGCAAATGCAAAATATTGATAAAATTGAAAAGTTTATCGTAAGTTGCCAAACTAATTTTTGGGATTTTATGGAATTAAGTTTTCGTTAGACAAAGAAGTTCTTCCAAGCTTTATCAATTATAAACTTCGTACAATTCATAAGATAATTATACATTCTTAGTTCAAAATAATAACAACATTGGACTTTGGATTCTATTTAAGTTATCTATATTTAAATCAATACGTTAATTCTTATTACATTTTAGATTCTGTATGCCAGTGGAAAAGTGCATGCAGTTTTGTGAGGCCGTATATCACATGATATAATTTTTCCATCACTCTAGTGTGTTGTTTTAACATGACCAAAATGATTTTTTAAATGCTTAATATAGCGCAATGTTTCTAAACGTATGTAATTTCAATGGCAGAAGTTAATGTAAATCTGACCCTTTTTATCTCTGATGTTATTGTATGATGAACTAAAAGATATGCAATAAGAAATAAGCAATAAGCAATACATACTGCAAAACTACTCAAGCATTATACGAATGATACCCTAATATCAAAAAATTAAAAGCATAATGAAGACTACACGTTGATCTTATGAGGCACATAGCAACCATTATGAATGTTCGGGAAGAACAATTGTCAAATGTTGCGCCAAATTGAAGTTTCTGTCAGATTGCACTGTTTACACTAAGTCACCACGTGTCGTAATTATTGGATTTATACGACGCAGTGTAGAAAGCAGCGGGATCCGATACAAAAATCATGGCGAGGAGATGCAATCCTGTATACTGTAAACAGTGCTTAATTGTTATAGTCATAGTCCATTAGTTTGTGTCGTAAATTTCTTTTATTAATGTTTATATTTAAAAAAAATTCATAGCAACGTAACAGCAACGTATGTCATGAAATTAAGACGCTACAATTTATGTTGACGTGCGTCATACGAAAAACCTCCTCATCACCTTGAGTGTGCTTTAAGTATTATGGTAATAACTGTTAGTTTTTGTCGTATCTTTCTTTCATTGACCTCTATGTTTTTGACTTGCAAAAAACTATTAAAATGTAAATTAGTTGATTTACATGCAACGTGTTTACTGTCATAAATCGAATGACGTTCATGTTAAACTGTTAGCTACAATATTCATCCCCTCAATTTAATACATTGTATCAAAATACATCAAAATCTCGATCTAACTGAAACCTGGTTCCTACAATTTTTCAGGATTAACTTCGCCCGCCAACGGATGAAACAGCTAATGACGCCAACTATAAAAGTCGGAATTGCGTGTTTTGTTTGTCCTCCAAAGCACTTATTGTGCGTGTTCAAGCAACCGATATTTTGATTTTGCATTGTAATGCGTGGAGTTCTGCAAAGAATAAACGCTCTTTATGCATTGACAATGCCCAAAAGTTGGTGGTCTTTTTCCTGCGCATGGGCAAATTGTAAATATTAAGTGGTGCAAATTTACATTTTCCCATTCGCAACTGCTACCCAAAGAGTAAGAATCGTGAACATATCTTGTTTATTACTTTAAGAAGACACAGAGCTTGAGGTAAGTTTATCTCTAACATAAAATCCTGGTTGTATTTTATCCACTTTTCTATATTGTCCTTTTAAATCGTACCCTTGTAATATGTCACTAAAATAGCCAATACCCCACTTGAATATATCAACACTTAAGTTCTCATCGACGCTCGTTTGTGTGACTGCATGAAATAAAAGTGTTGATATTATTACAAACATATAGTTGGCTTGAAAGTTTCTAATCACTGGATTGCACTTCAAATGTAAAGAATATAATCTTTAGTGTTAAATAGAAAAATACAAACAAGAAACGTAAAAGAAGCGGATGTTGAATTAAAAAAATATATATACATAGTGCTTAGATCGAGTATTATATGCAAGAAAAACAGTTAAAGAAAAATTTTTTCTCTTAATATCGTCCATTTATTGTCATTTATTTGTTTGACATTAGTAATACATCATATTTAGAAATGAAAGCAACTGGCGTAGCCAGGTCGCATGTTTTATCAATCTATTAATTTTTAGTTCATTAGCATTATTTTTTCCCTAAAACTTCACAGAGTACTTAAATATTTATAAATCACAGCCAAAAATAGTGCTTATACGCAATTGGATTAACAAGTTTTATTTCTACTCTGCTCACTGGATGACATATGTATATTACACTGGATAACGCACCATGTATAAAATATAATAAGATAATTGAGCCGGAGCTTGGCTCATCTGATTATCACCTTTGTGGGGGGTATCGGTCCCACTGTAATATACTTATTGTATTACAAAATCACAGTTTTTGCGCTTTTATTCGTTCTACAAACTTTTGATTCGAGCAAAATTTTTGTGAAAGGGAGAGAACAACCGGCAAAGATTTTTAATCCTAAAAAGTTTGTCTTCTTGGCTTTATAATGCCTGAAAATTGAGATGGTACAAGGTCGACTTTCATTGTTTTGAAACAAACTGGAGATTATGCTGCTGCTGCTTAAAAAATGTAGAAATATTACAGAATCCTACTACTGCTACCAAAATTTCATCTGCAATGACGTTTATGGAAGATTGCTATAAATTTACTTATTTAACAACACTTTGTTATTCACATCGCTAATATCATAACAATTTCAAATTACGTCTTTATTATATCAGCGAAGAAATAAAACAAATCGACATAGGAAAATAATCAGAAAGACATTTTGATAAACAATAGTAAGTTGAAAACGGTATCATCAAACTCTACAATATGTACATCATCAAAACATGCGTACCTCTGTTGTTATTAAGCGAAGCAAAGTTTTCAACGTGTTCCTATGTGAACAACTTCAATATCGATGAAAATGTTGAAGATATGACAACCTTTGTTCTTACTTTGTTGTAAATTTGTGATTTAAGTATTCATCTTCTAAAATTGCCTCGTACGGCTGAAATTGTCCGCCGTCGAGGGCAAGCCACATTATTTGATGATTTCGTCATGGTTGATTGCAATTCAAGAACTATTAACCATTTAAGTTGCACTTTCTTGTTTCTCAACTTTTGAACTGTTCATTTTAAAGCGCAATAAATCAATATTTACAAAATAGATCTCTTAATTAAAAAGCTATTTCCAGTGTTCATTATAAGGATCAAAACTTAAAATATTGTACAGAAATAGTGCAAGTTATGAAGAGGAATTAATGAAACAATCACACAAGGGTTAAGTAAATTTACTAACAACTAATCGTTTGTATTTGACTACAAAGAATCATGAACGCTGAAGATTGACTATTGGTGAGGGAGGGGGGTATGTATTCATACGCTCATACGTCACAATCTCAATCACAATAATTTCAATAGAACCTAACCTAGAAGGAAATGTAATCATAATATAATCACCACCCACGCCTGAATTATGTATGTTTTGAGAGTTTATTGCGTTCAAAATCGCTTTTTTGTATTGTTTTATAACACAGTGTCTGAATATGCGTAAGCAAAAAATAAAATTGATAAGTGATACTTTTTATATTGATATTTCGCACCCTCGCCACCTACATGTATTGATAAAGCACCTCATTTTAAATTCAAAATACAATATTTTCCTCCCCCATAATTTTGAACTTATAAAATATAATTCAACATCTATACTTGCGCACAACTTCACCGTTTTACAACTCACTCTCTTTCTTACGCCCTCCCTTCCTTATGCCCTTGCTTTTTTATGCCCTCCATCTCGTATGTCCTCCCCTTCTTTTGCACTCCCTTTCTTATGTCCTCCTTTCTTATGCCCTCCCTTATGCTAACATTAGTACATGTAACAAATGAACTTTAAACCATAACAGAGTAATTAAGTAAATAAATGATTGATTTGTCTACTACAATTCATTGCGATTTTCTGACTGGCTTGGTCATATATTTAAAGATCATAGTGTCTGCGTAGAGCATAGTGTATCTAACTGTCCCAGATCGCAGGTCGCGGAAAAAAATTTCCTGTCGCGGCTAAAGTCCCGGGATTAAAAAACTTTTTGTGCATGGAAAACTTTGGGAAAAGTTTATGTTGACTTCTTTGGAATTCTTAATTTCTATATACGCCCACTTGAACGTTCTCTGCTGTCAATATTATAATATGTCACCGCTGCATTGAATATTATGATTTGTGTTTGTTATAACTATCCAAAATATACATGTGTTGGACTAAGTTGGACTAGCAGTGATATGTTTCAGAACCATTACATGAGTTGTATCCAAATAAACCTTGAATTAATTGTTGATATTTGTTATGTCTGGTCATTAATAAGTACATTTATGCCAGTACATTAAGATGCACAATCACTGTTGTCAAGAGAAATATCTCATCAGCGTTGTGCAAAGTCATGATTAATTGGCAATGTGTTCGTTTTATAAATCCAAATATGATATTTATTATATAAGTTATGCTCTTAACATTATTGAAAACATAATTTGTTTTTTTATTAATATCAAGGTAACCAAGCATCATTAACCATTCAAGATTTACTTGGATACGACTCTTTTAATGGTAATGAACACTTCGTTCTAGAGAAAAGCAAAGTTATAATCGTGAGAAAGTGCGAGTTATACATAAAAGTAAATCGTATCTTATATTCTGAGTGTCAAATTTACAACATATATAGTTGCATACGAGTAATTCTTGAATTATTGAATGATGATAAGTATAGAACTCAGCGTGATTTCAACCATGTGAACTACTTTAATCGACTTCATGCAGTGGCGTGCGGTCATGCAAGCGTAGGCAAGCGCCGCTTGCCTAAGCATTTTACCGAACAAAAATTTTTTGGATCAATCTCTGAGCAAAATCAGTTTAAATTTTTCGGTTCTAAACAATGTCAATGTAATCTTTTGTCTAAATTGTCTTTACAGTTGAAATGCTTGCTATTTATACGCGATTTACTGTCGTGGTTTTCGGTTTCACTTTGCTACACTGGTAAGATGAGTCAAGTGTATTAAATTAAGTGGATTAAATTAATTATTTATTAACCAAGGCAAGCGCGCTTGCCTTCGGAGCTCAATTTGAACATTTGCGCATGCGTTAATCTAGATTTGGAGGCTTCTTATTCGAGGAATATCGAGAAAAGGCAAGCGGCGCTTTTAAGAGCGCCGCTTGATAGCGATTGGTCAACAGTCTTGTACGTTCGCAATTTTAAACACATATCAGCGCACGAATAATATTCTTATATTCAACACATTGGACATACGAATTATTCACGCCGTTAATGTTATCGTTTATTAAAAGATGACTGAGAGCGAAAGGTAATGTTCTGATTTCTAATTCAAAGTAGTAGGTGCTTTACTGGTTATTTTATTATTTTCTGATCACAATGTGCGTAAACAAGCAGGGGCCGCAGTCTGCAGAGATATCGAAATGCACGCAAACGTGTGTTGTGGTAAAGTATGACTAGCATTATGACCAAAACACTATGCTCTTGTCAGTCTTGGGTCGTTGAATTCGTAAATTAATGACTAAAAGTAAAAGGTACAAGATACTAAATAATAAACACGACTCTCCGATATTCTGAAACGTACGAGTCAGTGCCAGACACATTTTGAAGAACGGGAGAACACGTTGCCATGACGTCATTATACCAAAATATAAACATTAACGCCATGGCCTCAGTTTGTAACACACCGTGCCAATTTTGTACGCGAAACTGGCTGTTCTTAATTGTTATAATCACGACTGCTACAATACATTTCGCGCCTATTGTCTTGCAATTTATGTATGTAGAAGATATTATCTGTAGCATGTAATACAAGATTATGATATTGACAAGAGCTTCCTTTTGCGTAGTAGTTTTGATATTTGTATCAGGTAGATTTTAGCGTTATATATAAGTCTTTCGTATGAGCTCCGAACGTGAGTTCAATGTACTAGAACGCTATTAAATTTTGTGATTATTTTATTCACTAGCGAAGAAGTTATTTACAACAGTCGTGAGTGTTCTGTGTTAGAATTTATTTACAGGCTTTTTATATATTTGGTTAAAGAAGGTGCAGTTATTACACAGCGGATAATGTACTTGAAATTTGAGTAGTTTTACCTAATTATAAAGTTAAGTGCGTAAGTGTAAGTAGCGCGTTTGAGTAAGTGTAGGATTGGCTATTTCCTCTATTGCTAATACATGAATCTAGATGAGTAATATACGCACGTTATGTACGTCACTACAAGATATCATGTAACTGATGTAAGGTAAAAAAGCCGCGAACCTCACCCCCAGCGCTTGCCTATTAAATTCGGTCACCGCACGCTACTGACTTCATGTATATTTCGATATGTATAACAAACACAACTCATGAATACCCAGAACGCTAGTGACATATTTCAGTGTTGACAGCAGAGTGTTAAATCCAGGAGCACATTCAAGTGTGCATGCATAGCGATAAAATCTTCTCGAGAATTTAATATCAACTTCTTGGGAACGTTTCTATATTTTTTATGCAAAATAGAATTTTATAAACTTGCGACAACTTACCAACAACCCAGAAATTTTTACCCGCGACACACGACCCACGACAGTTAGATTCACTCTAGAGAACTTTTACCCTACTAGATACACCATTAAAAAATTTACCCTAGTTTCTGGAAAGTTATGCATATTTTACTTTTAAGCTCCTATTACCAAACATGTCTTAACTTATAATTACTATATACTGACTTAACAAATTCTTAGCTTAAATTGTTTTGCAAGCGCAATTCTGAAAGCATAAGTGTAAGCGTAGATATCTAACAGTTTCAATTTTATCTGAATTTGAAAGAACAAAATATGTTTTGATTAATTCTTTTTAGTGTTTATGAAATTAACATTCTAAGTTTAATTTTTTGTAGATCAAGAAGTTTCTTAACACATCTAAGCACTCCCAAGACTTATATCAAAAATGGTAAGTTCTAAATAGTTTTTTTTGTTCATTTAATAAATAATTTACTTAGTTTATCGTGAGATCAACCACAAAAAAGGAATGATGAGATTATCGATCCAAGAGCATCTTTTCCTCTGAGGAAGATAAATTTACGTATTGGGACACTCAAATGTGTACGGAAGTCACAACTTTTAGATACTTAAGATTGTATAATAGTTTTGATAAAGTCTTAATTAGAAGGTCGAACCATGATTGTGTGCTTAATTATTCTTTATCAGCTATTTCACTAGGCCACTGCACACCACGATTAATTTATTGTTAATATCTATTTTCATATAGAAACGAATATTAACCCTTCTTTTTCTGTATACCATTAATGTTGGGATTGTTTCTTCCAGAGTGAGACACGTCCAGGGTAACAAAATATTTTAATATTTGTGCTACCACTCCAAATAAGTCGCTAAGTTAATAAGGCATAAAGCTAATTAATATTTCTTTATTGCAGATTTTAAAAGCGACCGTATATTTCGACGCCTCCTATTTGGATCCCGGAACAAAGTTCCCAAAAAAATATACGAAGATAATGATGATACGAATGGTAAACGTTTAATTTAGAAACAGGAACAAAACATACAAGGATTTTTTCGCATTTGAGCAAGGTTGTAAATAGACCAAGAGTTTGAGGACTTATATTCACAAAAAATATTTGTTAGATACGCTTTATAAAATTTCATCGAAATCCAATATTTTTACGGACTTCAATAAATAACTAATTATTACAACCCACTTATGTCGATCTTCCAAAACCTAGAGTATTTGAAAAATATTTCCAAAATAAGATGTGTTTTGAAATATTTCTCAAACTATAACCCAAAGATCTGAAATTTCTACCAAGCATACTAACAATGCAATGCCATTACAGCATCTTAAAAATTATGCGTAATATGTCATCCCTAAGAACTAACAAAACTGGTATTGCTGTTTTTGTGTGTCGAATTCAAGTGCTGTAAATTTGGGGTTCGACACTTCGTATTTTGGGCATTTAAAACTTTTTATGCCTACATATACTTTCCTTATTTTGTTTTATCTTACGCTCTTGCTATAAGACATTGAGAGCTCTTTTATCCTCGAATATTTTCTTAATAATTAAATTTATTAAATTACCATACAATGTTGCTTCAAACTCAATTATGACTTGCTTACAGCGTACAAATAATTGTAAATGTCTTGCAACGTAGAGAATATTGCAAACTATAAATAGGTGACATAATTTTTAAGGTTGGAAAAAAAAACAAAAAACTTTTTTCTTTACAGTTATATGACGCATTTGAATTATACGTATATAGAGATTCACGAGATAGTTTATTGTTAGTTTTATGAGTTTGTTTATGTCTTTTACTCTAGTTGTTGAGACAAAGGCTGGCAAAATCCGGGGAGCAACAGAAAAAGCCTCAATAAACGGAAAGACAGTTCTGAAATATCTTAACATACCATATGCTGAAGCACCAGTTGGTGAGCTAAGATTTGAGAAACCAGTTCCAAAAAAACCATGGCGAGGTAATAAATTTTTAAATCTTAAGATCCCTCTCCTCCATCTATACGCACAGCCTTTCATGTTATCTTTCTTATATAGTCCTTTGATTATAATTCCTTCTTTGTAAATTACTTCTTAAGATTCTGAACTCTATGACTCTTCTCTTCTCTTTCTAATTCCTATACATTTCAGGTATTCATTTCTAATCTTTTAACTATTCTATTTCGTTAAAGGTATTAAAGAATCAATTGATAATAATATTTCATGTATTCAACCTGTGTTCTTGCCAAAAATAAATATGACAGAAGATTGTTTAATACTTAATGTTTGGTCACCTCATCCAAAACCAACTAACGCAGCAGTAGTGGTAAGTTATGAACACAGTTATTTTTATAATTATTTAAACATAAAAAATTCCATGCAGAATGAAAAAATGTTTTATTTTCGCCTCTCAATTTTAAAATGCAACAAAGTTAGTTTGTGTTTGTTTCACAATCAATCTAAACAGGTGTTTATCCACGGTGGTGCATTCTTAGCTGGTTCATCACACGAAGCAAATTATCATGGTGCAAACTTAGTTGCATTGGGAGACGTTATATTAGTAAATATGAACTACCGCTTATCTGCACTAGGACTTTTGACAGCCCCAGAAGTTGGAATTAAAGGTGAACAAGTTAAAACTTATCGTTAAAAAATCTGTAAAGTTTCAAAAGCAATCAGCCAAAAAATGTTTAACAAAATACTATAAGCACGAATGAGATCTTCTTTCAAGACTGACAATGTTGTCGATGAGTAACCAGTAATTTAAATCATGTTTGTCGGTTCTCATTCCAAAGGTAACCTTGCTTTGTTTGATCAGCGTTTGGCAATGAAGTGGGTAAAAGAAAACATAAAAGAATTTGGTGGCAATCCTAACGCCATTACGCTATTTGGAGGAAGTGCTGGCTCAGCTTGTGTTTCTGCTCATACTTTATCTGAAGAAAGCTGGCCGTATTTCGATCGTGTCATTTACTCAAGTGGAAACATGCTCATGTATTGGACATTATCTACTAAGGTTTGTAAAGAGAAATAAAAGTAAAACTTGTTGCACACGTTT